TCCTTTTTACCATAAAGTGCGCAGTGTAATTTGAATTTGCATGTCTTTTAGTATAAGCATGATGAGCTATTTTTATAATCACAGAGAGATTTATAAACCCCAAAACATAGTGAATACAACATTTAAGTAAGACCACTCAATTTGTACATTCTCATTTCTTTCAAATTTAGCAAATTTCATTCTTTCTTCTTCTTCTTCTTCTTTTTTTTTTTTTTTTTTTCCGGATGGAGTGTTGTTCTGGCCAGGCTGCTCTCATTCTTTCTTTTATCCTTTGGCAAATTCAGAGTATGTGGTGGAATACCAACTGATTTCTTAAAATGTGTTGTTGCCAACTTTGGAGAAGCACAGTAAGACAAATTGACTGTCAAGATGGAAAGCTTAACTGGGAAGATACATTTATTGAATAATTGAAAGGAAGAGGAAATGCATTACCGAGTAGCCACAAAAGTGCCTAACGCCCAATCTGCGCTTCAAGAGACTGGTGTAAATGGGGAGTCATGAAACTGTTTCGGCCCCCAAAGTTCTTACCAGCCCAAACTCATCACTGCTTTGTTTATAGATTGCAGTGCCAGAGCACTGATGGACTGTTTTGCTTTCAGGGCTGGCTGAAGTGCAGTGTTACAGTGACTCTTTGTAGCTCTACACTTTTAACTCTGGTGTACTTAAATATTTTAACTGAATCCTGGATTTATCACTACCTGCTTTGCCTTGGGACTTTTGCTTTTGTTTTTTTTTTTTTTTTTTTGAGATTGAGTCTCCCTCTGTCGCCCAGGCTGGAGTGCAGTGACACAATCTTGGTTCACTGCAGTCTCTGCTTCCCAGGTTCAAGCGCTTCTCCTGCCTCAGCCTCCTGAGTAGCTGGGATTACAGGCATGCACCACCACGCCCAGCGTGGTGTATTTTTAGTAGAGACAGGTTTCACCATGTTGGTCAGGCTGGTCCCGAACACCTGACCTCATGGTCCACTTGTGTTGGCTTCCCAAAGTGGGGACTTCTGCTTTTTAGGAGGCAGCATAGTATAGATTTCAGAAAAGGCAGTTGGTGTTGGCAGAGTTGGGACTGGAACTCAAGCCTTCTGGTTTACGAAAGAGGGACATGACTTACAGCAAGCAAGTTCCCTCACTTCTCTGGGCTTATTCCTTATCTAGGCAGAGAGTGTTGGAGATCCCGTTGCTCAAAATGATCCAAGCTTCAGCGGCCTCAACCTTACCTAGGAGATCCTTAGAAAGGCCGGATCTAGAGCTCCATCCCGGAGCTGTGGAACCTAGATGGGAATTCTAATCAGATGTTCAGGTGATTTGAGCATGCATTGAAGACAGAGGAGTGCCGTACAGACTTGGAGTGTTCACTGGACAGGTTTGGGTCTTCCCCGCATCTCTGGTAGCTTATTGGAGATGGCGGTGACTGCTACAGCCTTGCACCACTCCTCATATTCTAGCTGTGGTTAGCTTGAGATTGAGATAGTGAGGCAACAGAGGAGACTGGAAAGTCAACTCCAGTGGCTTCTCCAGGGCCTTGGGAAGCAAGCCCAAGGATGCCATCTGCAAGCTTGGCTGTGTTGTCCAAATTCTTGAGGCGCATTCAAGAACAAGGAGGTAAACAGAGTCAAGCTGGATCTCTGCAGTACTTCTCTATATGTCTCTGATGTGCCTCCGTACTAGCATAGTGCGTGCAAATGATATCCTCTGAATGGTGTCCTTTGGAAGAGGGAGCTTTCTTTTATTTGAGGGAGAAGCTTGCAACAGTGATTTTTGGAGGGAATTTGAATGTATACTTACAAGATAGGAAGTTATTTATTGATTTCTTCAACACTCCAATCTGGAGACACCGGAGTAATACAGAAAAGATTTTTGAAAAGTGCTCCTGCCATTGTATGAAGCAGAAAAACCCTAAATCAGCTGTAGGCGGGAGTAGAGTCCCTGCTCATGCACATAGAACTTGTTGTTGAGTCAAACCCCTCCTCTGTTTTGTGCTCTTAGGATTCCTGGGCTGTTGTTACTTTCTGTCCCAGACCTAATAGGTCTGCACCGTATGTAAGAAGCATGTGATTTTTCAGTGCATTTGATAATGGCTTGCTATGGGAAAATCTTGTGAAAGAAAAATACGGGAAATTGTGTGAAGACACATTGAGAGACACAGAGCCAGATCCCTAACTGTGACATCTCTGAATAAAGGGCCTTCCTTTCTCATGGGATCCGGGGAAGGGCGTGGTGTGCTCCGTCAGCCCTGAAGTTAGAAATGAAGGTTTTGAGAAGCCTTTCAACTTCAGCTTTATCCTAAGCCAAAATCTTCCCAGAAAGGTTGGTAAGACAGCACTGGACAGAAATGTGTGTGAAAAGCCCAGAGTTACATTGAATCAGGGCTTTAGCAAGTGCTTTGTCTTTTCCTCCCTCTGAAGCATGTGAAGAATGCAGCTTTCTTCCCATTTCGTTGGTGTTATTGTTCAGGCTGTTTGGAGAGACTTGAAAATAGCCAAGTTACTGTTAGCCAAAAATGTGCCTTGTTTATAAACCCGAGTTTTGTTTCTGCTTTTGTGCCTGTTATTGGTTTGATCTGTGTTACCAAAAGAACTTTGAAAATAATGAATTGCTTTGATGCGAATTCCAAGGAATAATGACAAACAAGTGTGTTTATACAACGGAACATAAACAGAAATATGTAAGCTGGGCACAGTGGCAGGCACCTCTAACGCCTGCCACTGCCCAGAAGGCTGAGGCAGGAGGATCACTTGAGCCCAGGAGTTTGGAGGTGTAGTGTACTGCGATCACACCCGTGAATACCCAGTGCAATCCAGACTAAACAACCTGGGGAGACCACACCCTAAAACAAAACCCAGAAAACCCCAGAAATACATAGAACCAACAAGAACACCATATACTTTTCACATTTGATACCATGAGGTAAGAAAAGGAAGTTCACGCCCAGCATAGTTCATTTAAGAATGCCTGAAAAACACCTTCACTTCAAAGGATATTGTAGTCTATTCTTTTTCTGTTTCAAAACTGTGTAGTAATAAAAGGATGCATCTTTTTGGCACAAAAATGTGGGAAGGATAAATTTCCCCAGTTGTATTCAAAAGTCCTTACTCCCAAATGGGGCCATTCTTTTCTATTTAATGCCATATTGGTCTTTCATTATTCTGCTTTGAGATTTTTGTGGAGTTTGGCTTATGGGGTACTCAAGTAAGCCATTCTACTAAATGTGGACCTCAGACCTTTCGAGCTTTGGAGGAAGCACATCCTTTACATCCATAAAGAAGCACCTATTTTCTGTATTTCTTTCACGATTGTAGAATTTCACTTAAATTTAACATCCAGCCGGGCACGGTGGCTCAAGCCTGTAATCCCAGCACTTTGGGAGGCCGAGGCGGGTGGATCACGAGGTCAAGAGATCGAGACCATCCTGGTCAACACTGTGAAACCCCGTCTCTACTAAAGCTACAAAAAATTAGCTGGGCATGGTGGCGCGTGCCTGTAATCCCAGCTGCTCAGGAGGCTGAGGCAGGAGAATTGCCTGAACCCAGGAGGCGGAGGTTGCGGTGAGCCGAGATCGCGCCATTGCACTCCAGCCTGGGTAACAAGAGCGAAACTCCGTCGCAAAAATAAATAAATAAATAAATAAATAAATAAATAAAATAAATTTAACATCCAAGCTTAGTCTCAATGTCCAGCACCCCTTCAACTTAGTTGGGTGGGGACCCCCTTGTGGTCCAAGGGGACTTCCTTAAAAGCGCTAGCAAATGTAGTCGAGAGGAAACTTTCAGTTCCCGTTTGCACCTGTGATCTCAGATGGTGCTGGGATCAGGTGCTGGGCATTAGGAGACCTGCCTTTTGACTTGGAAGTTGAGCACTTGCTAAACAAAAAATTATCTGTAAATGTCAAGTGTGTCCCTTTGGTCAAAGTGGCAAGTGAAGAGGAAGGGAAGGCCAAGAAAAAACATCCGTGTGATGGTAAATAATGTTTGACTCATTTGCTATTGAAAACACTTCTCTTTTGTATATTCAACAAATATATTTGTTTTAAAAGGGAAAAATCAGCTTGTCAACTATTGTTTCTTAATTGCAATACCATAAAAGACTTTCTGGAGATTAAAGAAAACATTCATTTTCAGAATGTAGTCTAAGCTGCATTTTTTTCTTTTTCTTTCTTTCTTTTTTTGACAGAGTCTTGCTCTGCCTCCCAGGCTGGAGTGCAGTGGTGCAATCTCAGCTCACTGAAACCTCCACCTCCCAGGCTCAAGCAATTCTCCTGCCTCAGACTCCCAAGTAGCTGGAACTATAGGCACCTGCCACTACGCCCAGCTAATTTTTTTATTCTTAGTAGTGACAAGGTTTCACTATATTGGCCCGGCTGCTCTCGAACTCCTGACCTTGTGATCCGTCCGCCTCAGCCTCCCAAAAATGCTGGGATTACAGGCGTGAGCCACCACATCTGGTGCTTTTTTTCTTTTCTAGAGACAGTCTCGCCACGTTGCCCAGGGTGCTTTTGATCTCTTGGGCTCCAGCAATGCTCCCACCTGCCTTCTGAGTAGCTGGGACTGTAGCACACAGCACCACACCTGGCTCATTTTTAATTTTTTTTGTAGAGACAGGGTCTTGCTATGTTGCCCAGACTGGTCTCGAACTCCTGGGCTCAAGCAGTCCTCCCAGCTCGGCCTCTCAAGGGGTTGGGGTTACAGGTGTGAGTCCCCATGCCTGGCCCTAGGCTTCTTTCTTGAATGCAGCCTCCTCTGGCCGGCTGGCCTTTTCTCTCCCCTCCCACACCCCCAGGTGCACTACTGCCCATGGGCAAAGGCTGTTCCCTCATCTTTCTCCATCCACCATTGACCCCATTAGCTGTGGGCTCCTGTGCCTGCGGGTGGTGGAGACAAGGACCCAAGCCAGGAGGGTTGGTTCCAGGTCCTGCTGCTGGGGCCGTGTGATAGCCATGGAGTTTGCTCTCCCTCCTTAGCCCACACTCACGTGTTGCCTGTGGTTTTGTCTTTGCTCTCTCCCATGCAGATCTGGAGTTAGGTGTTGGCACGCTACCAGAACATGACAGCCAGGATGCAGGGCCGATTGTCCCCAAGATATCGGGTTTAGAGAGAAGCCAGGAGAAGAGCCAGGACTGTTGCAAAGAGCCCATCTTTGAGCCTGTGGTGCTTAAAGACCCCTGCCCTCAGGTCGCACAGCCGATAACCCAGCCCCAGACGGAGCCTCAACTCCGAGCTCCTTCTCTGGACCCTGACTTGGTGCAGCGCGCAGAGGCCCCGCCTCAGCCCCCACCTCCGAGTACTCAGCCACCGCAGGCCCCGGAGGCCCAGCTCCAGCCCGCCCCGCAGCCTCAGGTGCAGAGGCTATCCAGGCCACATTCCCCCACCCAGCTGCTCCATCAGAATCTCCCACCTGTGCAGGCCCACCCCTCCGCTCAGAGCCTCTCCCAGCCGCTGTCAGCCTACAACAGCAGTAGCTTAAGCCTCAACAGTTTAAGGTGAGCCGCCGGTCTTTGGCCTGACTTTTGCCCTCTCCTTGGGGGTCAGGCGGGTGGGAGTGGGAGAGGGACCCCCAGGGAGGCCGCAGTGTCCTTGTTGGAAACATCATCCTTTTCTCTGAGACTGGGGACAGGGAAGGGGGCCATTGAGTGAGTGAGACTCGGGTCTCTTAGGAAAGGACAGGTTCGGATGGGTGGATGGTGAGGACATTGTGAAGAAGTAACTCGGGAGAGTGAAGGCGGAAGGAGAGGAAGGCTTGGAAGGCCGCGGGCCAGGGAACCCAGCAGCAGTGGGAGGCTGGGTTTCGAAGCCTGGGGCACATCAGAGGCCACGGAGTGTGAGCAGATCCTTTGAAGGGAGGCTCTTTGTCTCTAATGGAAGAAATGTGAAAGAAAACTCGGTCTCCCTGCAGTCCCAAATGCAGGAAGATTGGGACCCAATGAGTATTCCAGTTTCAGGATTTTTTTTTCATCGTGATTTACTTTCTCCTATGTGGGTCAGAGAAGTAGGGAAGAAAGAAAACAGGCTGCATTTAGAGAAAGTGAGAAATTTCTGCTTGGAAATCCAGTCTCTCCTCTGTCTTGTTTTTGCCAAGTTACAAAGAAACTTCTAAAAAGTAGCACAGAGGAACACAGTAAAGAAAAGAGAGGCAGAAACCCAGTGTATAGCGCCAAGTAGCGCCGACCCTTGGTGCCCCAGGGGCTATAATTCTAACCCGGCACTGCTCCTGAGGCTGTGTGTCTTTGTTACTGTTTTCCTTTTGAAAACCTGGTGGCTTTGGTGGCTCTGGCCCTTGCCTTTTTCTAAGAAGGGAAGACACAGTCTTTGGGAGGCAGGTTTCTTCCCCAGGGAGCCAGGCCCGGCCTCTGACCCCTCGGCCGTTTCTGTGGCCTCCAGACCGTAAAGGTGACTTGAGAACCTGGATTTCACCTCTTCGTGTTTCCTCATTTAAGAGGTAACAAGACAGGTGGGGTGAACTCAGATCGTCGTTTTTCTATTCCTTTTTGTTAACTGTTGCTTTATAGGGGATGTAGATAGTGGAGGATGGAAGGCTGGGGATTTTCTTAGGGCAGAGATGAGAATCTGGCCACAGGAAGGAGAGAGGCCCTGAGGTTTAGGCAGAACGAGCTGTCAGGACACCAAGATGGCCCACAGCCCTGCGGCAGCAGTTTCCATTTCCTCTGCCTGCAGTGCGGTGGGAAGTTTGCAGGAGTTGTGATTTCAGAGAGTGTGTGCATACGGGAGGATCTGTAAAGAGGACGGGGCGGGAGAGACTGTGTTGAGGGTTTAGGGGAGGGAGATGGGATTCTTTTAAAGAGAATACATTGCTTACCTTTTTTTATTTTTTCTCTTTTTCTTGCTCTGTTAGCAGTAGCAGAAGCAGCACTCCAGCGAAGACTCAGCCTGCCCCTCCTCACATCTCCCACCACCCCTCTGCCTCCCCGTTCCCCCTCTCCCTACCCAATCACAGCCCCCTGCACAGCTTCACGCCCACCCTCCAGCCCCCCACACACTCACATCACCCCAATATGTTTGCCCCTCCCACTGCTCTGCCTCCTCCACCACCACTGACATCAGGAAGTCTGCAGGTGCCGGGACACCCGGCTGGGAGCACTTACTCAGGTAGGATGGGGGAACCGGGGCTCTTGGCCCCCCACACCCACCGCCCCTCACAGGTGGTCTCACCCTACCCAAGTTGTCCCGATGGCAAGGTTGCATTTGCCTACAGTTTTCTCCTGCCTTGTAATCTTCTTCAAACCCTCTCTGGCCTGAGGTCCAGCAGAAATACCTATCAGCACCCATACTAAGCTAGCTCAGCCCCTGCGAATCAGACACTGCCCAAAGAGCGTGGGTTTGTTTGGAGGCGTTTGGGGACATTTCCAGCCCAATTCAGCCACTGAGTGGTCAGACCCAGGTAGTGTGTGTCCTGTCACCTGGGTTCCCCTGAGAGCGATGGAAGCTTCCCTAAGCTCGTGTCTGTTTCGCTCCAGGATCTTAGACTGTGTCCTGGTTTAAGGGGTTTCTTTTCACTGGGCAGGGCCTTCTCCTGCCTCCTTGGGAGAGGACACACTCTTTGTGACAATATATCCCAGAATTTTAAGGGCACACCTCATGGTAGACATGGGATCCTTTCTCCGCACCTGTGTTAATCAAGTCAAGCGTCCCAGTTTGGGCACTAATACAGAGAGCCATATAGCAGTAATTGACACGTGAAGAGGGCATGCCAGCCCTGCCATGTGAGCAGCTGACATTATTAGTGTGCTGTCACTATTCCCAAGCACTTAAATGTGCAAACTGCTTTAGCCCTCAAAAACCCACGAGTTAGGCAATATTATTGTCCCCCTCTTAGAGATGGGGAATCTGGTCCTCAGATGAGTTATTTGCCATGCCCAGGGCTACTCAGCTGGTGGTGATAGCTGGAATGGAACTCTGGCGTTTGGCCTGGAGTCTGTTCACCACGTCGATAGAACATGCCTGTCCCTGGGAGCTGGGAGACCAGGTAGAGAACAGGGAGACGGGATGCAACTGGGCCTTGGGCTCCTGGACTTTGTTGATTGCCCCCTTTGATCTCAGGGCCCAGCCGCACCCTGTCACCCGTGCCACTGTTATCAGCCCCATATCCCTGCACAGGAAGGCACTCCGATGTCCTGTTGTGAAGGAAAGGTGCCATCATCTTCCTCTTCTTCTCTTCCAGAGCAAGACATCTTGCGACAGGAGCTGAACACTCGTTTTCTGGCCTCTCAGAGTGCTGACCGCGGGGCTTCCCTGGGCCCTCCGCCCTACCTGCGGACCGAGTTCCATCAGCACCAGCACCAGCACCAGCACACGCACCAGCACACGCACCAGCACACCTTCACACCGTTCCCCCACGCCATCCCGCCCACCGCCATCATGCCGACGCCAGCACCTCCCATGGTGCGTACCCCAGGCAGAAATGTGAGGATAAGTAGAGCACGACTCTTTTCATTATGCAGCACGTGGGGCTGGGCTGGGCAGCGGGGCCACCGGAGATCGGATGGGGAGCGCCGGCCGTCGGCTGCAGAGAAGGGAATGTGTCCTAGTGCCCTGCCTCAGGCAGCTCTGACCTCGGGGCCCTAAAGTAGGAGCTTCTTCTAGGCAGTTGTCTCCAGCACTGTGGATGCCCTCAAAACAGTCATGTCGAGCATTGATGACTAACTTCTTAAAGGGTTGTTTTGTTTTCTTGAGCATCCCGGGACTGTCAGCAGACAGATAATGCACCTGCTTGTGCTCTGCACCAAGTGCTAGCACGTTAAGCACTTGCAGGGTCGTGGGGGTGAAGGAGAGAGAGCAGCAGGGAAAGAGACCTCTGCTGGCAGGCTGGGACTGCAGTGGGTGCCACTTGCTCATCCCGGTGGTTTCCCTAAGCCCGCTGTGTTGGAGGTGTTCTATTTCTTGTATTTCCTAAGACAAGCCACTAATCTGGTATTGTGCTCTGTCAGCAAGTGTTCAGGGATCCCTGCAGGGAGGAACCGCTGGCCATGACATGGTCTTGGCCTTAACTGGGGGCTACCTCATGTCCGTAACCAGTTCGGAATTTTTTTTTTTAAGTTAATAACCATAGTTGATAGTGCTGTATTAGAATGCTAAATATTGTGAGATAGAGTCCTGTCTCTAACAGTGAGGATTTGAGTCATTTTTTACTTATTTAATTTTTAATATTGCAGGAAATACTAGATTTTAAAGCCATTACTATAGGCATTGTGAGAATAAATTGCATGATTTTAAAAGGAGTCCACTTCACCCAACTTTGCTTCCTCTCCTTCCCCTCCCTCCCCCATCTTGTTCAACGGGCTTTTTTAAAGTTTGTTTTATACAATTTTATTTCAAGGAATATTAGCAATGAGGCCTTGTGACCAAAAATATTTTTTTAATAGCAAATCCTGTATCTTTTTTGGATGAACTATGCTTCTCAACAATTAGATTTTGAAGAGCCTGAGATTTTGAGAAAGCTTTCTGCTGGCCTGTGAGCTGTTTCACAAATAAATTTAACCGAGGGTAGTTATAGCATCAATATGATGACATTATTGAGAGGCGACAATAGTATACTCTTTTCTGTTCGAATGAAAGGCTGTCTGGCCTATCTCAGATCACCTGGTATTTGGGTGTAATACATTTCAGAAGACAGCTGCATGTACAGTTTTTCTGTCAAAGTAAAGATAAAAATAGGGGAATTCAGTGGATAAATCAGACCACAAATGCTCACCTCTCTCTGATTTATCTGGATAAGTGTCTGTTTTCCCCCGTTCAGATGTTTGGTTAGTGCCAGTATGTAGAAAGAAAGTAGCTGGAAGAAAGGCGTCCTGGTATGTGCAGAGCCCAAACGTACCGCTGGTTCTTCACTTTGTTCTCCCATTTCTGTTGCTTTCTTGTCAGGGAGACTTAGGAGCTCAGAACGGTTCCATGTGTAATGAGGTTATTGAGTCTGATGACAGCTTAATGACAGGGAAGCTTTGTAGGGCCACCTCCACTGTAGCAGTGAAAAAAAAAATGCAGATTAAGTAACTAGCTTTTGCTTTGATCCCTTTACAGTTTGACAAATACCCTACAAAAGTTGACCCCTTCTACCGGCACAGTGTGAGTTTCATTACCATGCTACACATTCAATGTAACTGCTTTGCCATTTTTGTGCTCTTGCCACAGATCAGTCAATGACTAGCAGCCTTCCTTAATCATCTTTACAAGAGATCCCATTGCTCCTCGCCACTTTGGATGCTTGCTTTTGTGGTGTTTTGCTTTTGGTAAAGATGCAGTATCATCTTCTGAATCAAAAGATCATAAGCACTCTGAAGGCCTGAAAGCAGAGCTGCACTTTAGTGGAAGTCAGGCATCTGTCCTGCAAAGTGAGGTGTCTGCAGTGCAGTCATTAAAGTTCCAGGAGAGTCTGAAATCTCAGCATTTCAGTCATCAGTGAATTACTTCCTCTAAACAGAAAGTCCCTTGTCTTTTTGACTCATAACTCTTTAACAAGTAAATTTTCATTTGCTCTAGACTAAATGTAGAATCCTCTTCCACATGGCTGGTATTGTTCTGTTGAGCTTGTTACAATGGAAAGTAAAAATATCACTTAATTAAGAGAAACTCCCAAAATTGAAATAAGTGATATTTTTCTCTTTAAACTCATTCTCCTTTATTTAAAAAACAAAACTTGTTGAATGCAATTTTAAGAGTACATTTTGGAACTTCAATTGATAACACCCTAAGTTAATGTTCAGTTAACCTGTAAGAAAAGAGCTTCTTTTTATTCAATGATCTTGAATATTTCCATGATATTTTGATGATGGGGTGAATACTGCATCATTTTTATCTGAAAATGTGCAAGTTTCTTTGCCAGTGATTTTTTTTCTTTAATGAAACCTGAAAAAAGAGAAGGTTAACATTGATTGTAGCCATGTTGATTCACCATACTCAACTGTTCTTGCTTTGATTTGTAGATAGTGTTACCATTTGAGTAGAAGTGCTACTTTAATAGATCAGCAAACACTGAATTCATTCATACTCTGAACCAGTTAATTAGAAACCATGTTAGTCAAGAGTATAGCTGAGAAGTCAAGACTAGAAAATATTAGAAATCAATGGAGAATTATGTACTCTAGAGGCATTTAGAAATAAGATGAAAGACCTCTTCAAAAAAAAAAAAAGTTAGAGAAGTATATTTGAGTGATGACTCCTTTCCCTCCCTCCCAGCATGGTCCCCCTCACGTCCTGCTCAGTACTGGGATACAAAAACATATTTCATGGGGACACACAAAATCCAGTAGACCTATGGGTTTCCTCTTTGGGTCTGGCCCAGGGGTGTCACCATTCTGCCCTTAGTCTGTGCTTTGCTGATTTAAAGTAAGGACCAGCTAACAAAATAATTTATATGGAAAGTTAAGTGTGCCCAACAAGTGGCTCAGATTTACTTTGTAGGACCCACTGTGGTGCCTTCTGATTGGCATATTCTACCGTCCTAGACTGAAGATGTAGAAGAAGCCTGAAGGCCTGAATTTTTGTAAAGTGTATGTATGTATTCTTACTTAGGTGCCTCAGGTTGTTAGGCAGGGAGAGGAATAGTCAGCTCTGTGTATGCTGTAAGAGGTCAGTAATGGGCTTAAGCAAAAAGAAAGTGGTAAGAACATTCAGTGTTTAAATTGTAAACATGAAAGGGAAAATGCCCACCTGGAGGCAGAGTACTAGAAATGTGAGTGTGTTTTACTGTGGCATGCATTGAATTACTCAGCTTTATTCAGTGTACTGTGGGAGAGTTATTTCATATTAGGAGTTATAGTGGATAATACATGAAGTACTTAGTCTCCCCTGCTTTCGGGGTTAGAACATTATAAGGGGAATTAAGATGCAATGCACTCAAGTATCTAAAACAGAATTTTAGACTTAAAAGTAGTTTTAAATGAGGGCACTTGGCTTGCAATCACTGTTTAAGTGGATTTAGTTCAATATCAATTAGTCTGAAAAACTTTGCTGCATCATTGAAGGGAGCAAAATGAAATAAAGACCAACAGAAAAAGGACGTGCTCTGAAAACGGGATTGCGAAATGTGAATTTCAGTCATTACCAAAAATAGCTAATACAAATCCTTTATTAAGAAGAGCTTCAATTATTATGTTTTTCAGATAATAAACAGCCATGAGGGTGGAGCGTTATTTAAAATATTTGTATGGTGGCCTGATGTCAGTAGATAGAACCAGACCAATAGGACCTCAAAAATACTAAATTTTTAGAAGGAAAGATGTGTTTGCATTGTCTTCAGATTGTCTCTATTTCTTTCCACAATTGTGTCCTTTTATAGGCTATTGATTTAGGAAAATTCACAGTCTTCATTCAGAATCATTCTTTTCCCGTCACAGAGTGGACTCCTACATGAAGGGCTTGGCTTGAGTGTCCTCCAAAGAGCTTGTTCATTTAATAGCAGATACTATTCAGAAGTGGCCATAGAAATTCAGACTTCATACGTTAATATGGAAGTGCCTTGAGTACCTGAGACTTAAGAGCAAACGAAAGCTCGATAGTAACATTCCAGACTCGGGCGATGTCTGTGCAATGAGAATCCATCTTCTAGACAAATTGCCAGCTCCACTTAAAGTATACATCGAGTCATTTTACCCTTTCACAAATATTTCTCATGATTTTAGATGAGAGAATTTCATTGTCCTCTGGAACTGCCACTTCTACAACCTAATGAAGCAAGGATTCTGAATATGTTCTCATTTCCTCAAACTATTAAAAATCTAAAAGTACTAATTGAGTTTTAATGGTATAAAATCCCGGCACTCATGAAGACTTCTTTTTCTTCCTTTTTTTTTTCTTTTTTCTGTCTCCTTCCCGCCCCCCACTCCATTAACTTGTAATTATTGAGCATCTTATCTGGCTCAGGATCCCGCCTATTTTTGAAACGCATTAAAGTCTCCAATCATTTAGGACCTCTATCCAAAATTAATAGTTAGAAAAGCTCCCTTTCTAATGATGCCCTCATCCGGGACGTCATTTGCTGGCTGATTGATTCTGAACTACTTTTAAATTGATTCTGAACTACTTTTAACTTTTTAAGTTACACATTCATGGCACATCTGTGTGATCATTTCATCATGGCTTCTTGACTAATAGCATCAAACTGAGATTACTTGGCTTGCTCATGTCAATGTCTTTCTATGGGAAGGGAATTTGAATATGTCACTTGCCTCCTACTAAAATCTTTTTTCCCCCTCTCCGTCTTTGGCCACAGCTCTTCCATTCCTACCCTCCTGCAGTGTCGGGCATCCCCCCTATGATCCCACCCACTGGCCCTTTTGGTTCACTACAAGGAGCATTTCAGCCGAAGGTAAGAAACCTCACAGTGAAAACACACAGGCATGTGTCTAAGTGGCATCCCAGGCCAGGCGTGCAGGAAGTTCTGCGTCCTCTTGCCTGCGCAGTGATGAATCAGTGAGGTCCTAAGTGACCACTGGGATTAGAGTGAGCCTATTTTTTTCTGAGTCCGTCTAGTTTTAAACGGCTGTGAAAATTTAATTTTCAAACTGTACTACCCACGTAATCTCAGTTAAGCTAAGATTTCTTGTGCTCTTTAAAATATACGTAATACTTTTTTTTTTACTGCCAATATCGTGGACATAACTTCTGGTCAGGAATTCTATGAAATGTCAGACACATGTGCGCCAAGTTATTCTTCAGATACATGTCATTAGTAAAGACACAAAGCTGAGTCCTTACTGACTTGTAGAAGTGGGGATACAGGTTCCAAAACTAAAATTGTAACCTATGAATTCTTCTCCTCATTCTCCCTATTTCCCTCACCAGCCCCATCAGCTGCACACAGGGTCTGCCCACACGTTGGGGGGTCGCCTGCCATTCTGGTCCTCCTTTCTTTCCCCTTCACTCTCAGCCATCCCGCCCCTGCCGTGGTTACCCTGGCCAGGACTCTGTCATCAGTTACTAACATCCTAGTGTAGAATTAACCTTTTACCCTTGATAATAGCTAAGTTCCATTCTACCTAGTCAGTGATAATGCCGTTCAGCGTTGGCTACAGCTGTCTCTAAAGGTCCATACTGAAGAGTCATTCTTGAAGCACTATCTTTTTAAATATACTTACAGTTCCTATTTTACTTTCATACAAAAATGAAAGAGTTGTACTTTCGTGTGAGTAACCATTTTCATACTTGAAGATATTTTGCTGTGTGTCATTTGGGTTTTCTGTTTTCTTCCCCACCCCATCTCATTCTTAAGGTAAAACGCAGTTTTGGGCCAGAGTCTTCCAGGATAAGCACGTAACTGCATTTCCAAAGACATGTTGCATTAAAACTAAAGACAGGAAAAGAATTAAAAGGCATTAGAGGCGGGGTACCCCCCCTTCAGAATCACCTGCATTGAATTGCACTGAATGCAGTTCATCTATTGAATTTGCCTGCACTGAATTGCACCCTATATGCAAGGTTACAGATACAAAGGGCTTTTATGACAGCCTCGTTAAACACCTCCTATCCGGAGATAAAATGATGGTGACTTTTAAACTCCCAGTCTGCACTTTACTCGTCCCTCAGACCCTGGTCTGTCCCCTGTAGGTTGCACCAAATCTCTGGTGCCTCCCCAGGCAGACTGGTAGGTCATTTAATAAATTAGACTATTTCCCTCACTCACAATTATCCAGTCACACAGAAAACTACATCTGGGCAAGAAAGTGTCTCTCCTGGTGTTGAAATAGGCCTTTCCAGGCCATCGTCCTGATTGAATATGTAGATTGCAGTTCATTAGTGGAGTTCTTCATATGTATGCAAATCAGGCTGTTAACAACTCCAGCTTAATTGTTAGTTGTACTGCAGCTGATTGCTTTTCTTCTTTCATTCTCTCTTCCCCGCTTCTTGTCGTCAAGCCTCATGCCTAAACCTGAGCTCCTTTTCCCCTCGAGTTTAACTTCCTGGTGTAGGGGGTGTTCATGGAAGTTGTGATTTCTTCGATAAAATAACTGGTGTTGTCTCCTGAATCCTTTCCCACTAAAAAGTAGTGACTGTGCCCAAAGTAGGCTTTTTATTGTTGCTAATTCAAAGGACAGACGCTCACAGATAAGGTTATGATTAGTAATACTTGCGAATGGTGAGAATAGGTAAGACAAAGCGAAATTGCTTTAGAAATCATCGAGGAGCAGATCCGCGAGGTCCCGAAGTTAGGTTCTCTTGTCCCATCCCCATTTCCACCGCTGCTAATGAGTAATTACTGAGTGTAATTCCTTGTTATTGGCTACCAGTTAAAATTGGGAGCTTAATGTCTGTAAAATACTTTTAGTGATTCTGATGAGAAACACCTGATACTGCCAATTACAATAACGTTCACTTAAGCATTTCTTAGACTATGTGGTGATTAAGCAAAAAAACCAACGACGGTCACTGCCATGGCTTCCTTCAGAAGAGGAGTTCCCAGGGCAGCGCTTACATTTGTTACTTCTCTTTTTGGGCCCTGTGCCTTTTATTGCAGTGAAATGTTCTGGGGACCTCTCTCTGCTTTTAGGTGCCATTGCTGGAGAGAGCAAGCTGTGGTCAGGCCCCCTTGAGAAAGAGCCTGTGTGCCCCCTGAGAAAAATGAATCTTGTATTTCAGAAGCAAACAAACAAATGAAGTTTGGCTTGTCTCATTTAGAAGGAGAGAAGGATCTTGCTTTTGTGTCACCTGTTCTGTGCTTCCTAAGCTGTGCTCTAATTAATTTATAGACATCCAACCCTATCGATGTCGCTGCTCGGCCTGGGACAGTCCCACACACTTTACTCCAAAAGGACCCGAGGGTACGTGCAAAGTCAGGCTTGGTCTCAGGTAACACCAGGGGTATGTGTGTGTGCATGGGCCGGCCAGCCCAGCGCTCCCATCTTCCTTAGCTCCTTTGAGAGAGCTGTTATTTCAGCTGTTCTTCTATTTGGTGGAGGAAAATGCCAGTTACTCTTAAAAAGCACAATCTTTCCTGCTCACTGCGGGCATATGACACAAAGAGACTGACTTCCCAATGGGAGAAAAGAGGAATGACTTATGGTCCCAGCCCCGATATTGGACATTGTTAGCTTGTGTAGTTTTTTTTTTTTAAAGATGGGGTTTCACCATGATGGTCAGGCTGGTCTTGAACTCCTGACCTCAGGTGATTCACCCACCTCGGCCTCCCAAAGTGCTAGGATTATAGGCGTGAGCCACCGCACTGGGCCAGCTTGTATAGTTTTTACTTAACTAAACTTCTCTGTCTCCTTAAATTTTCTTACGTAAATGAGGTAGCTATCAAATGTTTTGAATGGCAAAGCACTAAAGCGCTAAGCGCTTTTCTTCCTGGAAGTCAGGCTACACATCCTCCCCCTTGCCTGGGGTCAGGAAGTTCGTGTTACTGCCCGGCTCTTTGGCCCTGTATTTTTAATGTGCTAGGGATCCTTCTGTACTCTAGAGCTAAATAAAATATCCATTATGCTTTGGTTATGTTGTTTATTCATAATTTATTACCACTGCTACTTCCAAAAAAGGAATTTGAAGTTACACGACAGATATAATTTTTGCCTCATTGTTTATAGTCATCTTTATAGTAAATATGGAAGAATAATTATCTTTAACAATATTGTCTTTTTACCTACATAAGGACAGTCAGAAATTGATAACCAGAGTTAGATAGAAGTTTAAAATGACTCAACTATGTAAGTATGTTATGATGTGTAGTGAACTTCTTGAAAATGTTTAATAGCTATAAATAATGTAAAGTCATCAATTTAAGGGTATTGGTAAAGATAGCCTAATCCTACTGTATGGATGGAAAGGACACCTCTCCCCAGATACCAGTTGGTATACAGCTTTAAAAGCTTGGGCTCTGAAGGTCATTCTCCCTCAGACCTACCTGGTGTGGTTTGGAGCTTAAGACAGTGAAACTCCTGGTATGTGATGTGAGCAAATCATGGTGCCGGAGGGCACATTGCTATTGATTAAACTTGTAAAGGGGCCTGTCAGCGTAGATGTACCACGGCTTGTGAAGCGGGGGAGGGGGCGCTTGGCACTTTTGATAGTGTGAAAATGGGTTAATTATTCTCTAAAAGGGCTTCATTTAAAAGTAAAATTCTAACATTTTAATTTCCCCTCCTAATGAAGCACTACAAATTTGTTAATTAGAGCAATTGTTTGAGTGACAGGCATGTAACCAAGTTGTCATTTTCTCTTCACAGTTGACAGATCCTTTCAGACCTATGTTAAGGGTAAGAAAGCTTCTTATAGAACTGTTTTGCAACCTCTATTTGACTCCCTGTGAGTTAAAAATACAAGTCTATTACAAGGAAATAAACCATAGAAGAGTTGGAATAAGACATGCAATGGCAGTGATTGGGTTTTTCAGGTAGTGTGATTGAAAATGGCCTAAATTGTTTTGCTCTGACGGTCGGAGGAAGCCAGGCCACTGGCTTTTTTGTCTACCAAGTTCAGCTGAGTCAGATCTCTTGTTAGCAGTTCTGGTAAAAGGTTTGACTAGTTGGAACTTAAGGGGAAAAGACTTCATCTATAGACTGAAGTTAGTCTCTCTTGCACTTAGAAAATACATATCTGGGTCAATTTTGGCTGGCGGCTCCCTTTTTTGGCACCAAGTGACATTGACTTGTCATAGCCTCTTGACCTCTTAAGGTGCAGGAAGGAGATACTATAAGCATTTGGTTTCTCAACATCTTGCTTAAAGCAAACTGTTCTCGAGGTCTGGAGAGCAGCCAGTGTGATGACCTCTGAATGAATGCCGACTACCTGGGGGTTGTGAGGCAGGCATGGTGACTTGTTGGACAGAAGATGGATGGACAGCAGATTTCTTGCTATACTTAAGTCATTTCTAGGGCATATAATCAGATAATTTGATTTCTCCAGGGGAAAAAGAACTGTGTCATCACTTAGGTGAGGCAGTATATTATTTGTGATTTCAAACTACTCATAGTTTCATTGCAAGAGAACTGACCCAGACTTGCATCTCAGTGTATGTTTCAGCAGCTGCTCCTTACTGTAGAAACCAGAATCTTCTGTTCTTTGCCGCTGTAGAATGAGGCTGTGTTTCTTCTCATCTATCCAGTAGTTACTGAGCGTGCGCTTCGAGCTTATGGATAGATTACTTAGTGGAAATGAAGTAAGGAGGTGGTCCCTGCCCGCTGACTGGTAGAAGAGAATGCACTCATAGCACTCCACTCCTTATAAAGCAAGACATGAAAATAATTGGAGAGCTATGGATTCAAATTCAACCCCAGAGGGTGGAGGCGGGACTTGAGACCTACGGAGGCCTAGAGAATAGGAAGGAAGGAATTCCTCTCCTTGTTTCTTTTCTTTCCTTTAAACTTAAGAACAATCCCCACCAACATGAATGGGTAGTTGACTCTTAGCATTTATGGTCACTGGGCTTCAATCAAAATGTGGTGTATTTCTTTGTACCACTTTGGGGGTTCAAATAAAAACAACCACAGTCCTGGGGGAGGTTAGGACAGGCTCCGTACCCTCTTGAGTTGACTCACAGACATTCACTAATGAGCTCTTCCCAACAGCTGATTTGCATTATAGCATGGCAGCATTTGTTAAGTAGGGCTCCCGCTCTGCCAGCTGGCATCAGAAAAGAAAAAGACACAGAGTGTGGGATTCAGGCTTTTGCCATCTTGTCCTTGGTAACCGGGGAGGTCCTTGTCAATGTGGTTTTCTGAGTAGCAGCCCTCGTGGGGAGAGAGGGGGAGCTGGCTGTGACTCCCTTGTGACTGGGCTGGAGAGCTGCTGATGGAAGGCACTTCGAGAGTACAAAGCACTCTTGTTTCATGGGGTGGGGGGGAAAGCCTCTGCAGCCAAAATCTGCTGAAAGCTTTGGGGAAATTGAAGGTGGTTTTCTCTGAAATGTCTTCCTCCTAACCACGTTGCTCTTTCTTGTTCCAGAAACCAGGGAAGTGGTGTGCTATGCATGTTCACATCGCCTGGCAGATTTACCACCACCAACAGAAAGTCAAGGTCAGTCCAGCCTTCCTGGCACAGGGAAGAATGGGATGGGAATGTGAGTGTGTAACCTACTCAGGAGAACCTGCTTAAGGAGGCATTTAGAACAGGTTCCACAGACCCATAGTCAGGAAGGGTCAAGCCCCTCTTGGAAAAGCTACTCAGAAGTCTTTTTTTGTTTGTTTTTTCCCCCCTAGAGTCAGGATCTCACTCTGTCTGCCAGGCTAAAGTACAAGGGCACAATCATAGCTCACTGAAGTCTTGAACTCCAGGGCTCATGTGATCTTCCCTCCTCAGTCTCCCAGGCAGCTGGGGACTTCAGGGATATACCACCATGCTTGGCTAATTTTTTTTCTTTTTTTTTTTTTTTTTTTTTGAAATGGAGTCTTGCTCTGTCACTCAGACTGTAGTGCACTAACGTGATCACCACTCACAGCAACCTCCGCCTCCCAGGTTCAAGCAGTTCTCTGCCTCAGTCTCCCAACTAGCTGGGATTACAGGTGCCCGCCACCACAGCCGGCTAATTTTTATATTTTTAGTAGGGACGAGGTTTCACCATCTTGGCCAGGCTGGTCTTAAACTCCTAATCTCATGATCCACCCGCCTCAGCCTCCCAAATTGCTAGGATTACGGGCATGAACCACCGCGCCCAGCCTTCTTGATTGTTTTGTGGAGATGACCCCACTGTGTTGCCTACGCTGGTCTCAAACTTCTGGCCCCAAGCAGTTCTTCCATCTCAGCCTCCCAAGTAGCTGGGATTACAGTGCAAGCCACAGCAGCCCAAGAGATCTGGACAGTAGGCAGGCCCGTGGCTCACACCTCTGATCCAAGCACTTTGGGAAGCCAAGCTAAGCACTTTGGATTGCTTAAGCCCAGGAGTTCAGAAATCATACTGTTCATTAGGGAAACCACGAGTGAAATTACAAAACAAAAACAAACTGATAATGCCCTGGTGTTTTGTTCCCCCCACTTTTATAATTTTGTCATTTTATTGATCCAAAGAGCTTGAATATGGATTAAATGGTAAAATAAAGCTTTTGGAAATAAAATTATAGTGACCAACAATAAGAATCCAGAAAATACTTTGCATCTAGGAAGAGCTACAAATCAATGTTGGTTTTGGGTTTTTGCAAAAATGGCGACTGGCGCATTCATTTTCTGGCTTTGGGAAAATGGTAGCGTCACGCATGCCCTACATGAAGACGTTGCTACCACACTGTCATGGGTCCTCCTGATGGTCAGTGCCGGGGGCTGGAATACCGTCAGTCCTGGCAGGAGCCACGTTCTGGCCAGTTACCTGGCTGTCGTCCAAAGATGATTTTTCTTTTTTGTCTGTATTTTCATCATAGGGATGAATATCTTCTATGATTTGCTAGAGCCTTTATGACTCAGTAAGAAAGAGCTCAAGAACTTCCGCAAGTGACTGGATACAGGGTCAGCGCTTGGCTTAGGGAACGAAGTAACTAACAAGTCCGTATTTTACAGTCTGGGTCTTTACAGATTGTGTGATGATGCCGGCATAAACGGGCGCAAACAAGCAATCCAATAAGCTTCACTTAGTCGATTTCTTCATGAACAAGCTTTTAGTCCTAATGGCATTTGGGAGCTCTCATGAAAGAAATACAGGAGACCAATGAGCCAGGAGATAGAGCTCTTCGTCTGGAAGAGAAATGTTTTTAAAAGGGTTACATGATTTTTAAAATAAAACAACCCAAATCCCGTCCCACTCGAGAAGCTGAGGCAGGAGCATCCCTTGAGCCTTGGAGTTTGAGTCCAGCCTGGGTAACATAGCAAGTTCCCATCTCTTAAAAAAAGAAAAATGAGTAAAAAAATAAAACCTAGTTAAAAGTTAAGCAACAAACCTCAGTAAATGAGGTCACTAAGATATTTTGCTTTGATTGCCAAATACCTCCTCTTTCTTAAATACTATCAGTGAGTTTGGCTCACTTGTACTTTGTCATTAGGGGAAGTTTAATGGGAAGCCTTGTGGTCTGTCTTAGAAAATGTGTCTGCTCTGAAGAGCTAACTAGATTTTGATGATGAGTTCAATTCACTTTTTGTTGCGGTTGATGTGGTTAGTGGAACGGTAGGTAAAGCACATCTTCCTTGTAACTTCTGTTAAAAGTGGTGAGGGATGCTGCACGTGCCACTTTAGCAACTTCTTTCGTGTCGAAGTGTCCCCAGTGACTTCAACTTTCATTATCCCAATTCAATTAGAAAGACCTCTTGAACATGAGATAACTTCGTTCATCTTCCCTTTTCAGCAAACTGCTTCTAATCCCCAAGCTCTATTTTGCTTCATGGCCCTAAGTTGTGGTTAATGGAACTGTGCTATGTACCATGCAATATTAGCACTAAATAATTTGGCCACCAAATTAAAGGAGGTACTCAAAAGATTTTTAAAGATTCATAGTGAATTAGAAGCTTGGTTTTGAGGCTTGGCTGTTACTTGATAGTGGGACTTTCATTATAGCATTCCCTGTCGATTTGAGCAGAAACTGCATCTTCCCTTTCTCTGTGAAGTTCATTTATGCATTCCTTTAGTCACTCACCCGGTGTTTACTGAAAGAGCCTACGCCTGCAAGTCCCTCACTGTGCTGGGCTGGGGGCATGCATCCTTCCTGGCATCTAGTTATGTAGAGTTCAGTAATGAGTGTGTGTATAAAAAGTGAGGAAAGTGCATGTGCCCTCTTACTGGGTATCACTTCCAGCTAGAGGTGCACGGGTAGGTTTCACTTTCAATGGAGGTGAGGGATGAGTGGGACATTGCCTTCAGCGGTAAGGGAATGCCAGACTTCCCTGTCTCAGACCCTCACGCCGTGCTCTGTCAATATAGATGCCCCTCATGGGGCTGTGCTGTTGTACAGCAGGCAAAGATCCCTCAGCACATGAGGGAGATTGAGCTGAGGCTAGAATGGAGCTAAAGGGGCTGAGAGCATCAGATGAGTTCAAGAGATAGGAAGAGTGGCCAGGCACGGTGGCTCATGCCTCTAATGCAAACATGTTGGGATTGCTTGAGCCCAGGAGTTCAAGACCAGCCTGGGCAACAGAGAGAGAGACCTGTCTCTATGAAAAAAAAAAAAAAAAAAAAAAAAAGTTGGACATGGTGGCATGCATCTTTAGTCCCAGCTACTCAGGAGACTGAGGCAAGAATATCACTTCAGCCCAAAAGATGGAGGCTGCAGTGAATTATGATTATGCCACTGCATTTCAGCCTGGGCAGAAGAGTGAGACCCTGTGTCTTTTTAAAAAAAAACAAAAAAGTGAAAGTGAGAAGCAGGTGCTAAGGGCAGGAGACTGGATGGGGAAGATGTCATAGCAAGGGAATGTCAGCTGGAATCGGCAAGTCCCAGGACCCCAGGCCCGGGGTGCCGTGCTTATCCGAGGTGGTGTGAAGCCTGTTCAAAGAGAAAGCTGTCAAGAAACAAGGAGGCAGGGCAGTTTTGAAACCATGCTGGTGCAAGAGCTTCCAGCCTAGAGAATGATGTCAGGGCAAAGATTGAGAGGAAGATTTTGAACCAATTTATACTGCCTAAGAGGATGGTGGGCGGAAAGATTGGCCTGATGACAGATAAATAAGAGGAAACAGTGATTTCTATCCATGATAAGGATTTCACAGTCTTTTTTTATTTTATTATTATTTTTTTTTTGGAGACAGTCTCAGTCACTGCAATCGCCAGCTCCCAGGTCCAAGCAATTCTCATGCCTCAGCCTCCCAAGTAATCGGGACTACAAGTGTGCATCACCACGCCCAGCTGATTTTTTGTATTTAAGTAGAGACAGGCTTTCACCATGTTGTCCTAGCTGGACTTGAACTCCTGAGCTCAGGCAGTCCACCCACCTTGTCCTCCCAAAGTGCTGGGATTATGGTTTACTTACCTGGACCAACCCCCCTCTGTTAGTTAAATTAATACTCCTACTTTGTTTTTCTTTGTGGTTGCTTTTTTTTTTAATTATATAACAATGATCATTTGAAAGTTAGCTTGTAGACATGCAAATATGTCTTTGTAGCTTTGGTTACTAATGTACTGTGATGTATTAGAGTAATGGCAAAGAGTCATTAAACAATTTATACAGATTATTCATGCAGAATTCCTAATAAAATGAGGTTTACAACACTATTATTTTAAATCTTAAGAAAATGGACATTTACAGCAAAATACTGAACCACTTTGGGAGTGGTGGCAGTCTCCATAAATGGGATATGGTTTTATTTCTCAAACCATTAACTTGAAAGACCAAACGCAGCTGGGTGCGGTGGTTCACACCTGTAATCCCAGCACTTTGGGAGGCTGAGGCAAGCGGATCATTTGAGGTCAGGAGTTCGAGACCAGCCTGGCCAACATGGTAAAACCCTGTTTCTACAGAAAATACAAAAATTAGCTGGGTGTGGCGGCAGGCACCTGTAATCCCACCTACTTGGGAGGCTGAGGCAGGAGAATTACTTGAACCCAGGAGGCAGAGGTTGCAGTGAGCCGAGATCACGCCACTGCACTCGAGCCTGGGCGACAGAGTGAGACTCCATCTCAAAAAAAGGAAAGACCAAACACCAGTGTTGTCACTTGGTATTTCTGGTGTAGCAGGTCCTGCCGGCCTGCAGGTCTGACAGTTGAGGGTGAAATGGTTTTTGGATCGTTGCTTTCTCTCACAGTACCTGTACACTTGAACCCCAGTGCACCGTTCACAGGCTCCAGCTCTTCACTGACACCTTTCTTCCTTGCTGTTGGCTTAGGGATTTCATCTCTTACTGTTCCCCTTGCTGTGTAGAAACAGATGCAGTCAGACCCGCATAAGCTGGACTTTGGACTGAAACCCGAGTTCCTGAGCCGCCCTCCAGGCCCCAGTCTCTTTGGAGCCATCCACCACCCCCATGACCTGGCACGGCCTTCAACTTTGTTCTCTGCCGCTGGTGAGTGTGGGGTTGGGTCGGGGACGGACTTGAGAAGTGCAGTTCTCAGGTAACTAAATAAATGATGTTCGGGCTCTGTGCCGCGGCTCAATCACAACCTACAAATACACAGCTCATGCCAGGCTGCATCGCAGCACATCCAGGGAGGTGGGCCTTCCTCATTGATACACTCTTTTTCATTAAAGGAGGAAGCAGAGATCATCTTTCCCTTACAGGGATTCACGTTGCTTCAGTTCATTGTTTGCTTCTATATTAAACCAGCATAACCCACAAGCATGTCAATTGCTATTGAAAAAGATCAGAAGGCTTGCAAGGGCAGATCGGAAGGAAACAATGCCAGGAATTATAGACGGATGCGGTCGCCCTTACTGTGGTGTCCGCAGAGCACTGTAATTTTGCACCAGCATGCTCAGTCATGCTGTGGTTTGAAGGTCTGAGGACAAAGAGAGACGGTTAAGGCAGTTGCCGGGAGGATGGTCTGTGATAGGGAGGGTGCCACCCAGTTACTGGTTTTCTCTGCTACAGAACGTCACACCATTGCCTGGTTGGTTATAGCGATGGAGGAAATTAGGGAAACGGTGTAAAACGCCCATGTAACCTGTTTACCAGATCTGTAATTCATTTCACACACACTGTCCACGTGTGCGTGAAGACGGGGTGAGGTAGAGAGTGACGATTCACACATCAGAACTGCCCATTCCTGCCCCAGGTAGACAGACAGACAAAAGGCAGTGGCTGTAAGGCCTGAGCCAGATGAGAGGTGCCCTCTTGGTATTAAGGGTTTCTTACCGTTCTGTCTTCTCTACAGCTTTTCTAAGTGTAATTTCTGGCGCACAAAGCTCTCCTCCATTAACTCTGATGGCGCTGTGGTCATTCTGCTAATAAGTTCATACCCGCCCTGCTAGGTAGAATTTATTCTTCTGGACGCAAGCAGTCAAGGGGCTCCCCATTTCTGATCCCTTACGGGACAGGTTGTACCGCCACCCTTCCGGCTGCCACCTCAGGCTTTTATCCAAGACTCACTGTTGGTGAACCTCTGGCTCTTCTGTTCAGGAAGAGAGCAGCACCCACATTGCAAGAAATCATCATTATAATGGGCCTTGCTACCAAAGCACGTGACTCCCCCTGGAGGGGAGATGGGATTGGCTAAGGTCTCAGGTTTTTCTCTGTCAGTTCTGTCTGGGGACATATTTGAAGGCTCTGTTACCATGGCACCTAGGCGCAGAGACAGGGCTACATTAAGAGCAATTTTTGGAGAGAAATAGAGAGATTTCTCTCTGGCTTCCATTTGAGCCAAGTAGATGAATTGGCTTCTTTGGCTTCAATAATTCTGGAACTGCAAGTCACCCCTGGGGGCCCTGGGCTCAGCAAAGCTCTGGTCTTCATTGAAGCATTAATTAGCTTGCAGTACACAGACAGTATGTGGCCAAAATTTTATTTAGCCAACAACACTGCTAAGGCCTGATGAATATCCTGGCATATATTCACTTTGTGGAGGTGGGGTATCATGTTTACACTTCCCAGGTGGAAAATAAGCCACATGCAGGGCTGGCTAGAGAACCCCTCAGGTGCCTTCCAATTCTCAGCTTCCGTGACTGGGATGATCTTCCTGCTCTACTGCCTGGCTTCCTCTCCAAACCCAGGCAATAGCAATCCAAAACATAAATTCAGTTAACAGAGTGTAGACAGCAACAGCCCCCCTACATTTAATCCATTTTCCTAAGGAAATATTTGTTTATAGGAACTTAGACAACATGCAAAGGCTTGTGGAAGTTATTAGTAAATTCATTTATCCAGGCCCTGTTTATATTATAGAATGGAAGTATAATCTTTTTTTTTTTTTTAGCATAAGGTGTGTTGGATTCTGCCCAAAATGGTTATTTGGTGAAACTTGTAACCGATGTTTATACCTTGCACATACTTAAGAAATCTAGCCATTTTCATCTTACTTTTGGGTGCTAATGCCATTAATAAACTAGAGACTTCTTCAGATGACCTTGGCGAATATCTTGTCTAGGGCAAAGCCTGCCTTCCAGGGAGCTACCTCCTTAGGGAGTAAGTGGCCTCATATTAACAAGCCCGTTTGGTGTCCTAAGCCTCTAGAAATGTCCTTACCTAATTCACTTCTCTCTCTCCCTCCTTCGTTCCTTTCCCGGCTTCCTTCAAGAAAAGGATTAGAGGCATCTTCAAGAAATAGACATGAAGCAGAACACAGAACAGAGGAAGAAACGTGGATAAAAAGAAAACTTAAGGAAACTGCCAAATTAGACCTGAGTTCCCTGGCAGGCAAAGCAAAAACCTGTCACAGTCAGTTAAAAGATTTTTAGTGCCCCAAAACATAAGAATCGACCAGCTTTTCCTAGCATTGAAAATTGAGAGACATCAGAGGACTTCATCTCCTAACACCGCATTTAACTCACTCTAATGAGTTCCATAGAGTTGGGCCTTACAATATCCTTCCATGTGGGTGCATATGAACTAAGATATTCCTCAGGAGAAGGGGTTCTGCAAGGTTGCAGAGCAGCACAGCGGAGACCCACAACTTCAGGACCGCCCCTCCTGAGCCAGGGATGATAAAGGACTGGGTTTCTAGAACAGTACTTCTCAGAGTGAAAACGTGGTCCTCCGAGACATTCTGTGAGGAAGGGGTTCCATGACCCAATGTTTCCCTCTTAGAGGACGAAGGCGCCTGTAAATTTATTAATGGCTCTAAGAAGTCCTTCAGTACAGAAACTTGCTTAGCTTTTTTTAATCCAGTATTTCTCCAAACTGACTTGGTTACAGAGCCTCCCCTCCGCCCAGGACCCTGGGCAGTTATCACTGTCTTCGTCATACTGTGTGTCATAAGCTAAAAAAGACATAGCCCTTTTTGGTGGTGGCCAGCCACACGGGGAATGAGGAAAAGGGATGATTTGTTTTCTGCTTCCCAACAGAAACATTTTCTTTTACCCCGTGTCTTGCCTGCGGGGCCTGGGTGGACTTTAGCTGTGACCTCCCTTGAACCTGTTTTCTCACGGGGCCCTTAGGCAAATAGAAGCCAGCAGCATCTTCGAAGTGGGCTTTTTGTCAACTCTGGTTTTGTTATGTTTGGCTTAACAGGTGCTGCACACCCAACGGGGACCCCTTTTGGGCCACCTCCTCATCACAGCAACTTCCTCAACCCTGCCGCCCACCTAGGTGAGTTGCCCAAACTAATGGGAACCGGGGTGTGTGCCTCAGGCAACCTGCCACGCTTACCGTGCTCCCGACGCACCTCCCGGCAAGCTGGGGGGCATCCCAGGTACCTCGCTTACCACTTAGGCAGGAGATGTGCGCTCTCAGGAGTTTCAGCATGTCTCACACCACATCCTTTCGGTAGTAAGCTGTGCTCAGCAGGGGTCCTGCCTACACTCACCGTGGTGTAGTGGGCGAGAGCCGTTCCTTGGTACCCCAGGGAATCCGAGTTTACCGCAGCCTGCTCCCGCCCATTGGAAGAAGATGGTGAGCGCTTACTGTGTAGTGAAGGTCACCACTAGGGAGCGGAAAGAAACAGACTGCCGTTATGAAGATGCGTTACTCCATACCTCACTGCCCTGATTAGAGTGTCTTCCTAGTGAAGGAGCATGCTTTGTGTGGCCTTTGTGTACTCGGTCCTGTCTGCAAGCGTGCAGGCGTTGGCTTGCACAACGTAGGGCGTGTCATAGGCGCACCTTTGCAGTTTGATCATGGATTCAGATGCCACCTCCTGTCTGTTCTGTTAGTTAGTACCCCGGGGCTGGAGTAGTGCCCCCACTGGGTAAAGGAAGAGTAATGCAGAATACAGGGTTCTGGAAGCAGAGCCCTCAGAAACGTGTTGCCAACCTGTGCCCAGATCCAAGTGTAATGCACACCTTTGACATCATCCAGTAGAAGTGGGACAGGCCAGGTCAGGGTGTAGAGAGAGCAGGGATCCCGCGTCACTTTCCCTGCTCCCAGGAAGCTCCGGCCTCCTCTCTCAGCAGAGCCCGTGACCATTTCCTTCTTCCCTGTCTTGTTCGCAGAGCCTTTTAATCGGCCGTCTACATTCACAGGGCTAGCAGCAGTTGGCGGCAATGCCTTTGGCGGACTTGGAAATCCTTCCGTTAGTGAGTACCTCTAACTTTTAAAAATCTGCCTTGGACTTTTTGTCTCTGTGATCTGCATATGGCTCAAGACCTTTCTAGCGAAAGGAAACTGCGCCAGGGGGACCAATGCAGGTTATATTGCTGCAAAAGCGGGCCTTCCGGGGGGGGGGGGGGTCAGGTGGAGGTGCGCAGAGCCACCCCGTGAGGGCGGCGCGATGTGGGTATCCCGTTCTGAGGGGCAGTTGATCACTGCAGAGAGTTCACTGAAGTGTGGAGTTTCATCCACACTCCGCCTCTGCCCCCCAAAGATTTTGGCTGCAGCTCACCTTAGAAATGAAGGCAGTAGTTACATTTCATCTTGCCCTTGGCATTAGTGGAACTGACAAAAGCACAATGAAAAGTAACAGGAGGACAACACCAGGCTCAGGATAATGAAGATGTGGCAGCGTTTCATTCTCCATCTGGGAGGACCCTGCGGGTTTCTACTATTTAAAACACCCATCTCGATGAGGAGAAGAGTCACAGCCCCATGTCACGTTCTAAACAGTAGTCACTGAGTACGCAGTTGTTTTCCTCCATGCCACATGCCATATATTCCGGGAACGGGAAGAGATAAAACATGTCTCCGAGCCTCCCGTCTTTAAAGTACAGCAAGGAGACCTGTGTCTGTTGAGGTCAGGCCCTGTCCCTTCTCTGGTGACACTTGAACAGGGCGGTGGTGGGCAGAGAACACCGTGACTTCTGCTCTGAGTTCATTTTGAGTTATTAATCCCAATCCCACCATCATTCCACACCCTCTGCATGCCTGGAACTCCTGCATGCACCGGATATGCTGAATTAGGTCCTCTCGCTACCCATGTGGCCCCTTTGCCTTTTTAATTTCCTCGGCCTCCACCTTTGCTTTTGGTTTTAAAGAGAAAAGAAGCTGTGAGCTACCTCTCCAGCGTAGGACAAGACTTCCTCTAATGAATGTGTTAATCTCCTTTCCTTTTCCAGCTCCCAATAATATGTATTCATTTTAACTCTGAATGCTGTTAAAAGTTTTTTGGTAAGTACCTTCATTACAGCAGATTATATAATTTCTCTTAAACCTTTTTGTTCTCCACTTCACCATTTCAGCACCCAACTCAATGTTCGGCCACAAGGATGGCCCCAGTGTGCAGAACTTTAGCAATCCTCACGAACCCTGGAACCGGCTGCACCGAACGCCTCCGTCGTTCCCGACCCCTCCGCCCTGGCTGAAGCCAGGGGAGCTGGAGCGCAGCGCGTCCGCTGCAGCTCATGACAGAGATAGAGATGTAGATAAACGAGACTCATCCGTTAGTAAAGATGACAAAGAAAGGTACGGAAAGAAACCGCTCTCGAGTCCCCACGGGGGAGCCTGCTCTGTGCCAAGTACCAGTGGGACCGGCCGCCCACCCTCCCTGTCCCAGCCTCGTGCTTCACCCGCCCCGGTAGCCTCAGCTCCTCCCCACAGCCAGTGCCCGCAGCCCTCGCAGTCCCCGTGGTCCGTAACTTATGGTGACCGTAGGAGACAGCAGAGCTGGCGACAGACTCCGGTCTCAGTGGCAGTTACACAGCAGCACGTCCCGAGTCCCCGTTAGCATGTCCAAACAGAAGTCTTTCTCTAGGAGACAGGGAGTTGGAGCTTCGGGCCGGACACACACAGCATGAATCAATTCCATATTTGCTTTCAAGTCCGTGCAGTCCATTAAACCATCCATAGGTTTTTCTCGCTCTCTTCCTCTCTTTTTGTTTTCTTTTAGAAAGCCATGTTTGCATTGCCTCATATTTTTCTCAAATTTTGTTCAAACGCAAAGCCTGGGGCTCACAGATGACTAATACAGTTTTACTCACTAGCTGTAGAGAAACGTCGACAAGCAGTTTTGGTTTGGCTTCAGTTCCACTAGAGGATAATTAATTTTGTTAACCGTTGTCTCTGCCCTTGGTAACCCACGCCTAAAAAAGAAGTAGCCTTCAAGAGGAATGTCTTGCAGTATTTTTTTCCAAAGAGTATCATACGCATTCTTGACAAAATGTCTTTTTCTTTCTTTCTTTAGGCTATTTTCACTTTAAATGAACTGATAAGGAATGCACAAATATGCTTGACAGAAAATACCTAATCCCAATTTCTTTGTCGTACTTAAGATTCAAATTTGGTCCAAATCTTTAATGTTTCTTTTCTATGTATACCGTGTGTGTGTGTGTGTGTGTGTGTGTGTGTGTGTGTGTGTGTGTGTG